GAGCAATCCCATATCGGTCTTCCCCAGAGTGAAGACATGGCCAAAGTAGACAAGACAACGGAATTCTATCTTTCATGGATACTCTATGCTCTGTGCATGGTGCATAGTTGCTGACCTTCAGCCCAGATACTCTAGTTCTCCTCATCTAGATTTTATGCAAAGTACCACACTCATCAGCAGACCTACAAGTGATTCAGCACATGGCTTTCTCACAGTACCCCATCTTTATCCTTTGTAGGATCTAGCCCTAACTAAAACACCAATAAATGCAGGTCATACTGAGCTCCTTGCAGAGTGGTTCTTCACTGGTTTCTAAGTCATGAAACCAGATAAGACTGAACCATTATACATTGTTGTGAAGGAAGAAAGCATAGCTGGACTTAGGGTTGATCTTGTTCTACGGGAGGTGGGTAAGTTGTGTTCAGCAACGCTATATATTGTACAAGCACGATTCAGAGTAAACTAAGCTAGCTTATTTCCAATATTTTTCCCAGAAGTGAAACCTGTGCGTGTGTTTTACTGGAGGCTGTTCTGCAGGGTTGTTGTTGTTGTTGTTGTTGTTTTTTTTTACTATAACTCTGACATTCTGAGTTTCAGGTGAAACTCTGACAAACAGAATGCATCAAGTGCAGTTTTTGTCTCTCCAATTACTTGTTTTTGGTATAAACAGAGTCTTGACTCTATTTTGCAATTAAAAAACTATATAGAGAGTTGATTTCGGTCACATAAGTGACTTTCATTTAATGAGACCAGTGCGATATAGAAGTGATTAATATTTTCATTGTGTTTCAATTCCCCATTGGTACTAATACTTTTTGAGGAGGCACTGTACTTGTAATGTTGTTTTCCTGTTCATTAGCAACAATTTGAATTGCTTTTTGTAGCACGGAGTACCTGGGAAAAAAAGCTATCTACGCATATTCATTTGACTTGTTCTGTGACTAGCATAATCTTCCATCGGGTGGGATGGAGATCCATGTACAATTAGTGTCCAAGGCATACAAGAATAGGCTGTAGGAAATGAGTGTTCACTGGCATGGGGCGGTAAATGCTTCAGAAAAGAATGACAATTGCTTCTGAGATCAGCGTCTATTATTGGAATAGATAGGCTCTGGAAATAGGTATATTGCTCGTGGCCCATGCTGTTGCAATACACCGTGCCTCTTGGCATTAAACAGCAAACATTTGAGAGGAGCTTACATCATATTGCAAATTAATTTCCATTAACAGCTACCCACTACTTGCCCTTTGAAGGAAGGACAGCCTTCTAACTCCAGGTGTCGATTAGGACCTCATATTGGAATAGCTGAGCCTGCCTTACTGAGAGATGGCTTGTGTCTTTATGAGCCTGTTAGACACATGCATTGCCCATGCAATAATAATAATAATAATAATAAATAGCCAACCGGAGTGAGATACTTTATATCTCTTTGAAACTGGCTACACTGCAGTCATCTGAAGAAGTGGGTTGTGCCCACGAAAGCTCATGATACCATCTCCATGTTTTGGTAGTCTTTAAAGTGCTACCAGAACTATTTGTTGTTTTTTAAGTTTATCCTGTACAGACTAACTTGGCTACCCCTCTGAAGCTTAGGCTACAGTTTGTTTACCTACCATCCAGAGCAAGAGAGATGCTTTTGGAACAAACAAACAAAAAACCTTTTAAAAAAACGCCTAAAAATAAAGGATGAAGCCCCTGGACGTACGTTAGTTACTCGTGAAAAGAGCAATGCTGGCATTGGCAGCAGACAGAACACAGTGTTTACCTGAGCTGTCATTATTATTCCAGTCTCTAATACACCATTAGCAAGCTAGCATAGCAACAAGCCCGAACAAGGTCACTGTAGCCACTTCCCCTCATTAGCAAAAATTCCCCTGGCAGATCCCTTTTCCTGTCTGTGCTGCAAACTCTGCATCGTCTCTCAAATCTCTGGTGCTCACATTAAGTTGTTGTATACAAAGTGCATTTGCAGGTACATGCAATAAGTCACCCTCTTTCCAGATGATCAAACCAGAGTCTCTTTCTCACACACAATCACATTCTGACAGTCCATCTTTCGAAGGCAGTGCCGCACCGAACCCAGAGCTAAATGGCACTTCTCTAAATGTAATGGTAACGGGATGCTGGGGAAAGAATCTCTCACGCATGCCCCAGTTTTATATGAAACAAGCTTTTTTTTTTCTACCGACAAAATAATGTCACTAATATGAAAAAGCTGCATTCTGACTTTCATACACTGAGTAGTAGTTTACTCAACACGTACCTTATTGACTTCATTGTTCCTCCTGTAGAGTAATACTTTGCTTGATGAACAACAAGAAGTCCTGTGGCACCTTATAGACTAACACATTGCTTGGAGCATAAACTTTTGTGGGCAAAGACCCACTTCGTCAGATGCATGACGAGTAATTCTAACCTGGCTAGCGGAGATTGATATTAATCTGTACTGGGCAATGCACGGAGTTCATTTAGGCTATGTCTTCACAGCAGTCAACATAGTCCACGTCTACGCACAAGCAGTTATTTCGACAGAATGTCGAAATAATGTCGAGCTGGAGGACTGCTTACTCCGACTCCTGTAACCCTCATTGTACGAGGAGTAAGGGAAGTCGGGGGAAGGGTGCTCTCTTTCAAAATAACTGCTATGTAGACAGCACCAAAAGTTGAAATAAGCTTTCAACTTCAGCTAGACAATTAGCACAGTTCAAGTTGAGTAGCTTATTTTCAGTTTAACCCTGCTGTAGATGAGACCCTAGAATTTTAAGAGGGCAGGATGCTATACGTAAGTAGTAAACTGTGTGTGCATAAAGGACCGTGATTCTACGTTATGATAAAAAACACTTATACTGAAGCAAGATGCAAAGAGTCATTCTTCCCCTCTACTCTGTGCTGATTTTGCCCCAGCTGGAGTATTGTGTCCAATTCTAGGCACCACATTTCAAAAAGATGTAGAGAAGGTCCAGAGAAGAGCAACAAAAATTATTAAAGGTCTAGAAAACATGAGCTATGAGGAAGACTGAAAGAATTTTGTGTGTTTAGTTTGCAAAAGAGAAGACTGAGAGGGGACATAACAGCTTTCAGGTACCTAAAAGGGTGTTACAAGGAGCAGGGAGACAAAATATTTCCCTTAACCTCTCATGATAGGACAAGAAGCAATGGGCTTAAATTGCAACAATGGAGGTTAAGGTTGAACATGAGGAAAACCTTCCTGACTGTCATGGTGTTTCAGTCTGGAATAAATTGCCTCAGGAGGTTGTGGAATCTCCATAATTGGAGGTTAGATAATCACCTGTCAGGGATGATTTAGATGGTGCTTGATCCTACCGCGAGGGCACGGGACTGGACTTGGTGAGCTCTCAAGGTCCCTTCCCATTCCAGTGTTCTATGATTATGTGAAAAAAAAAACCCCACAACTATGAAAAGAAGGTTTGTCAGTTATTTTTATCCTCTTGAGTAACAGCAGATAGAAGTTGTTTGGTGGTACACATTTTAAGCAAAGTTTTCTCTAGCTGTGCCTAGCTAAGAACTTTCTCAGCTGTGCTTTGAAGGTAACCTTTGAAAAGAAAGGTAATAATAGAAGAGAAATAAGATGTGCAGATGTGCATTGCTGATTTAGACTAGCTCTACTCGAGTTCTGGAAGTGGCTTGGGTCATTGTACAGTTGCTTAAATTGAAATCATGACACCAGGAGAAATGCTACCCTCGGCTTCTATAGGACACAGAGAGGCTTTTCTCACATGCATAGGTTGCCCTGATGCGTGTGTTGATTCATTATCAGGTTAGGGTTTTTTTTTCCAGCAGGCTTTCATCAGTAAATATTGATTTAAACTCCAATACCAGAAGGTTTAGTCATAACATTTTGCCAGGAATTAGGTAATTACCCATAGATCTTTATCACACGAGAGGGTCGCCTTCTGCTCCTTTGTTGTCCGCAGTGGCTGCGGGAAACTCAATGGTATGGAACAACTGAGATGTGGGGCTGTTAATTTTAGGGCGAGCTGGGATGGCTTCGGCATTAGAAAAAATCCAGTGGGGAAGGCAGCATGTGAAATTGCAGTCTAGTGAAATGATCCAGGAGTACTTGGAATAAGCATTTGAGTTAGAGTTTTGACATTTCATTATAGAAATAAATAGTTCTCTCAAGCCTTAACGTTTCTTTTCTACTCTACAGTTTAATCACTTTCCTTCCTTCTTGTGTGTGTGTATTTTACACATCCTCTCTGTGCCTAATCTTTTTATATTGTGTATGTATGTATGTCAGCACCATGGATGTACGTGGTTGATGGACACATCCACTTGTACATTTGCTTTTCAGACAAACTGAGGCATCATGGCCGAGGCTTAGGATAATATGTGTTGAAAAACCTGTGCGCTCTGCCAGCTCCCTTCCACATAATGCTCTGCAAAGTTCCGTAAATCATGACCGTGTATCTTTTAAGAAAATCAAAATGTACAAGTGAGGAGTCCCAGCAAAATAAATGATACCCATAACTTATCACCGCCGCGATCCGTAAGAAGTCGATTTCTTGACAAACTCAATTGGATACACTCACACACAAATACATTACATATATAACGTTTCACTACACTACTTTGTGGAGTTGATTTGCTGCCTAAATTATGTAGCATTAGTGGCTATGGCAAAATATTAATATACAAATCTTCTTTTATCCATCCTCTGATAAACTGAGTCTGTGTCACCTGAAGGTTAGGCACCGCAAGGGGTTTCATGAATTGCTATTCTCTCTCTTGTTTTCAAGTCCAGTTTTTATGAGAGAGGGGGAAGGGTTGTTTTAGAGAAACAAAGCTATGGGGTAAAGAAAATCGTTATTTTGGGGGACCGCTGTTCGAGTCTTTAAAGGCCACGATGTCCACGTTCTTGTCTGCAAATGGATCTGTGGCCAAACATGGTATAGACCAAGGGTCAGTTTCGTGTTCACAGAGGTAACCACATCAATTCTTTTCTAACCCTTTTGTTTTACCTTGCTTTTTCTTATAGGAATCTCTCTTACTTTGCGACACAAAGTAGCCCATCTGCTGTCATTTTGGACCTATGGGAGGCCCGGCATCAGCATGATGGAGACCTTGACTCTCTAGCCTGTGCCCTGGAAGAGATAGGAAGGACACACTCCAAAATCTCAAATATTACAGAAACTCAGATTGAAGAGACCGACTTCAACTACAGCAGGCAAAACGGACTCTAGTCATCTCTTTTCCAGTCAAGCACCGATGGTCAGCTTGGACTTTTCCATTAGAGAAGTTCTACTAGCAGGGAGGAGATGAGGGTTTTCTGCTCATTGCACACAGGGAATCCGGCCTTCATTTCTACACCTGGTTTTTATTTATTTATTTTTTAACTTGGAGGAGCAGAAGAAACCCCAGAGTAAATCATCACAGTAGCAAGGGAAATGCAATCATCTCTGTGACTCCACAGTCCTCTCAGAATTAAAACTCTGGTCGGAATATTGAAAATAAAGGCTACTTTTCTATGGTTCCCCAGGGGCGCGAGGGCGGGGAAGCTAGAGATGATATAAATCGATAGTGTGACACTTATTTAAAAAACAGTAATGCAACCCAGAGAAAAACGAAGGCAGTGAGAATGGCACTCTATGGGGAAGTTACCGAATGTTTAGAGCCACTGGAATCTCTGGGTTGCAAGAGTTGAGCATATTGGTTGATTCTCCACCCCCCTGCACTGTGTCAGTTTATAACAGTGCAAAGAGGGTATGCATCGCTGCCAGGCTGATATTTGTAGCACTGTATATTCATTTCATACCGGTGCAAGTGCCAGCTGTATATTGGAGGCCTGCAGCAATCAGACCCAGGGAATTGGAATCAATATTATAACCAATCTTAACCAGCCCATCCACTTCAAAATTGGATTGTGTAATTAACATACAGAAACCTGCTGAGCTTTCCCTGGCCCTTCTAATAGAGCAAAAAGTCTCCCAAATTTTTCTATGTGGAAGTTCAGCTTTGTTTGAAATTTTGTAAAGCTGTTCCGAGTTTCATGCAGTAAAATGCAGCAGTTTTATATCAACCAACTGCAGTATTGGGAATATGGCCACACCTGTTTTTTCCACAAGCTGGCACTTGGTTGCATTGCTCCTAATTTCAGGGCTAGGGCAAAAAATGTCAAAGGAAAATTCAATCAAGGCATCATCATTTTGACCTAGTTTCAGGTTGAAGTAATCAAAATTGCTGTCTGGCTCTATTTCTACCAGAAACATTAAATCCAAGGGCAGACCCAGAAACTGGACCAATTTCATCCTAATGAGTTTGCAAACTGTGGTAAAGTTTCACATTCTTAACAAAATTTGGGCTCACCAGTGTGTTGTCTGGTTCAGTGATGTGGATGCCACCAATGGAGTAGTTGAGATAGGGAACATTCTCTGGCTATCTACCTGTCTCCCTCACCTTTTAAAAACAAGTTGCCCTAAGTTATCCAAACCAAAAATTCTGTTGTTCTCATATGTGTTCTAATAGACATGGTGCTGATCAAACTCTAAACATTCCCGAGGGGTTGCCGTGTTAGTCTGTAACTTTAAAAAGAACGAATAGTCCTGTGGCACCTTAGAGACTAATCAAAATATATAGAATCACGAGCTTTCGTGGGTAAAACCCACTTCATCAGATGAATTGGAGTGGAAATAACAGAAACCAAGATCTATACAACAGCAGAAGTAGTACCTGGCAATTGTAGGATCCATGTTAATGAGGCTAATTAAGTGGACTGGATGTGTCCCATTCATAGCTTTTCATGTAGAAATGTATTAACCTCATTAACACTGGTCCTACAATTGACAGGTACATCCTCTGCTGTTGTATGCATCTTGGTTTCTGTTATTTCCATTCCAGTTCATCTGACGAAGTGGGTCTTACTCACAAAAGCTCATGATTCTGTATGTTTTGGTGAATCTCTAAGGGTGTGTCTACACTAGCAAACCACTTCGAAATAACTAAAATCCATTTAATAACTGCCGAAATAACAAAATTGAAATAGCATGTCCTTACTACGGGGAAGCCTCAAAATTAGTCTGCGACAGGCTCCATTAACGTGGACGTGCTACCTCAACTTAAGAGCCCCAGGAAGCACTGGGGAGTAATTAGTCTGAATTACTCTAGGGAGTCGTTATTTCGAAATAGTAGCTCTGGAGCATCCACTACCACTATTTGGAAATAACTATTTTGAAATTAGTGTTATTCCCTGAGGAAAGCAGGAGTATAGATTTTAAATTAAGTGACCCGTTATTTCGAAATAACAGGTTTGGTAGTGTGGACGCTCTGCTTATTAATTCAACCTATGGGGGGTTATTTTGAAATAAAGCTTAGTGTAAAGCAGAGTTCTGGTGCCATAGGATCACTCATTTTTAAAGCTCTAAATAGTATTTCTGCCCATTAAATCCATTTTAAATCAGCCCGGGTGCCAATTAACTATGGCAATCCAAGCATCGGCATTGGTGGCATGGGCACAAATCCGTGGTATTCGTGAGCCGCTGACATTGGAGCTCATTTTACCGTCACCATTTGGAGGAGATGCAAGAGAATTAAATTTGTCATTTTCTCTGGCAGATTTTACAGACAGGGCTCGGCAGCAGCCTGACAAACCAAACAGTAGATTACAGAATGTGCGTACTAGTGATTTTCTGAAACTATTCCTACCCATGAAATTCCAGCTGAGGTGGTACAAGTGAGAACCCCCTTCAATGCAGCAACTGAGCAAGCAGCTGTTCATTTTCGCTGCTCCCACATGAAAACTTCGTTGCTGCTACTTGCTCACCATTTTAGAATAAATACGGAGACAACCCCTCTGAGGAACCTGGGCCTGGAATAGTTCTTGCATTTTGTTTCAAGCAACATATTGTGAGAGGTTTTTTTTTTAATTTGTTGTTTTTTAAAAAGTACCTTCCTGTTGGCAGCGGTACGTGCCCATGGTGCTTCAGCACATTTAAGACTAATACAATTCCAGCCTATTCCTCATGAAAGTAGCCAGCCTCTCAGGAATGTCAGTGGCACATGGCTCTCTCTCTTTTTGTCTAATAGAGAAGAGGAGGAACTGAAATCATTGGACTGGTTCAGTTTGGAAAAGAGAAGACTGAGAGGGGGCATGGTGGCAGTTGTCAAGTATTTAAAAGGGTGTTACAAAGAGGACGCAGAAAAAATTTTCTCCTTGGCCTCTCAGGATAGGACAAGAAGCAATGGGCTTCAACTGCAGCAAGGGAAGTTTAGGTTGGACATTAGGAAAAACTTCCTACTTGTCAGGGTGGTTAAACACTGGAATAAATTGCCTAGGGAGGTTGTGGAATCTCCATCACCAGAGATATTTAAGAGCAGGTTGGATAGACGTCTATCAGGGATGATCTGGACGCTGTGTGTGTGACCCACAAACCTAGTGTGATTCACTCTCCCATTCAGTGGCACTTTCACCACTTACAGCGAGAGATAAGAACAAGGGAGCTCTACAGCGTAAGCTGAGAGCCAGCTGGCTTTATAGTTCAAGCTGTAGAGGCTCCTATACTAAACACCAGGGCTGTGTCTACACTGGGCCACTTACTCCGGAAAAGCAGCCGCTTTTCCGGAATAAGCTGCGAGCTGTCTACACTGGCCGCTTGCTTTTCCGGAAAAGCAATGATGATCTACTGTAAAATTGTCAGTGTTTTTCCGGAAAAACTATGCTGCTCCCGTTCGGGCAAAAGTCCTTTTCTGGAAAAACTGTTCCGGAAAAGGGCCAGTGTAGACAGCACAATAGTCTTTTCCACAAAAAAGCTCCGATCGCGAAAATGACGATCGGGGCTTTTTTCCGGAAAAGCGCGTCTACATTGGCCACGGACGCTTTTCCGGAAAAAGTGCTTTTCCGGAAAAGCATCCTGCCAATGTAGACGCACTTTTCCGGAAATACTTTTAACGGAAAAACTGTTCCGTTTTAAGCATTTCCGGAAAAGGGTGCCAGTGAAGACGTAGCCCAGAGGTCCCAGGTTCAAATCTGTTGATTTGATCCTGCTGGGAGGGCAGGGGACTGGGCTCAGTTACCTCTAGAGGTTCCTTCCAGTTCTATGATTCTATGACACACATTTCAAAAAGTCAGGAATAAACATTTTTAGCCACGACACTTAGGTACATCTACACTGCGGGGGAATGCGTTTGCTTCCCCCCTTTTTTTTTTTTTTTTTTTTTTTTTTTGCAGAAGTGCAAACACGCTCTTTTGGAAGCACCATCATCCTCATTCCCTGAGGAAGAAGGGATCTTCCGAAAGAGAAGGATTTTCCAAAATTTGGCCCAGTGTAGATGGGCCAATTTTTGGAAAAGCCTTTTCTGAAAAAAAAATCAGATAATGCTGCAGTGCAGACCTAACCCCAGAGAAAAGAAATGTGTCATTAAAGTGGACTTCAGTTTTCTAGAAAACATGTCACCATAGATTTTTCAGCGGTTAACCCATCACTTAACTTCTACCCTGTACACAAGTTTATTTTGGTAATTAACCTACATCAATTTGAAAAAGCAATCACCCAACTAAAGATTCTTAAAGTCTCTCCCTATACGCAGTAATGTATTGTCATGTCCACACAGCGGGGGACCGACAGGAGCTAATGCTCCCATTGGCTTCCCTTACTCCTCGCAGAAGGAGGAATACCAGACGCCAGTGAGGGCTGTCCTCAGTGTTCGAGCACCAGAAGATCGACCTCCAGAGCATTAATCTGGTAAATATAGATGTGCCCTGAATGCCTTGTGTTATGCAAAAGTTGGTCCCTTTTTAGGAGTGAGAGAACTCAGTTAATGTGCACTGTTGTTCAAATGAGCTTCTGGAGAAGAGACCTGAGATGAAAACCAACATCCACAGCCTGAAAGCCCCTCAAGGCCAATCATAGGCTTGATTTCAGTGGGCTTTGGATTATGTGTCTGAAGAGGAGCTGCTCTGTAAATCCGTTTCTCGCAATCTTTTAGACATGCTTTCAGAAAGATGCCAGGCCTGAGTTAAAACGTTACATCTTGCGTGGCTCGGTAGTGTTGTTGGCCATTTCCTTTGGGTTTTAACCCTCTTGTCATGTTACAAGGGCATCAGAATCACCAGGCATTTAGAAAAATGTTGAGTTCTTCATTGAAATTAGTCCTAAAAACCAGAGACTTGGCCAAACCGAGCAAACAAGATGGAAGTGGAAATGCCACAGAATGAAACCTTAATTTAGAATTAGAATGAAGGGCTTTACTGCTGCTCGCAGAGTTAAGGAGAAAAGTAGCCCAGTTCCTGGTTGGCTTATCTTGAATGTGACCCTGTCCAGCAGCACATCAGAGTCACGGCAGAATGAGACATTTCGGATCAAATAAGATTTCTCCCTACCCCTTTCTCCATATGTAAAAATCTTCCTCTACCCCTCCCCCCAAAAAACTTTTTTATATATATTTGCAAAATATAGTCACTTATTTTTGTTCCTCTCTTTACTGCCTGGTTTTGTCCATTATGAGAAACAGAAATACCAGAAGGTGTCACAGAAATGCCCTCACGGATGGTATTTTTCCTAATCACACAAAAGCAGGAAGGTGCCAGAAATCTCAGCATTTCCAGACCAAAGAGTTTTAAACAAGAGTCCCAGTAATCTCCTCATCTTGACTGGAATGCCAAACCATTTGATGTTTACCCTGCAACCATGGCCCACAACCAAAAATATGCCCCCTCTTCTAATAGCCCCAAGAAAACAATCCAAGCATGTCTCAAGGCAGCTTGAGTTAACTAGGTGCTTTGCCTGGACGTTCTAATTTTCATTCCTGTGCACACACCTAACCATTTCACACTTTAGTGGTGCTTTAAACGTGAGCTAGTTGGCCTAGTTAGGGGTATTGGTTCGTGATTTGGTGCTGGTTTTGCTCTGGCTGTTCACCCACTTTTCATTAAGGACTCAGGCTAACACCCTAGACTTCTGAGACACCTCCACCGCCGTCCCACAATTCCATCACATGTCCAGACTAGACAAGTTCCTCCACAATTGAGTAGGAAAAAAAAGTGGCTCAGCCCACTGCAGCTCACAGGATCACTGGCAGGGCTAGAAACAGATTTTGCAGGGCCTGGAAGGGGCGGGATCGCAGGAGAAAGAGGCGAGGCTGGGGAAAGACTCCCACAGCCAGCCCTCAGTGCAGCTTGGACTGCACCGTGCAGTGCTCCAGCGGCGATTTAAAGGGTCATGGCTGTTGTTGTTGTGGTAGTGGCCTGGTGCCCTTATAAATCACAGGTCCTAGGGCAACTGTCCCTGGTGTCCTTTTCCCTCCCACCCCTATCAGTGGCCCTGATCCTGGGATAGGTCCCCAGGAGCCACAAGAAGAAATGCAGGGGGTTGCAGCAGCAGGAAGGACTCAGTGCATTTCGTGTGTCTTTGCGGTGTAGCAACTCTAGTTGCTCAGCTATGGATGCATAGCTCCTCACGTAACCCTGCAGGGAAGACATTTTCTGATGCCTTATGGCAATTTTTTTCTTTGTGGTCATTTATATTAATGTTTCCAGATAGTTTTCTTAAGTAGTAGGGGTTGAGGGAGAGCTACCAAGGTGACACTATGGCCAAGACCACTAATACAATCCCGGGACACATGAACAGGGGA